AGAATTATGGAGAGAACAAAAATGACTTCACGTAGTTACATCATGCAGAAGAAGACTAACGTGAAGAGAGATGTCTTCAGTTTGTTACCATAAAATACCGCCAAAGAATTGATTAAAGAACGAAAGTGGCCTGTACACAATTACTCAAATTTACATGTAGAAACAAATTTATGTGAAGAAAGATGTCATAGGAGCAAATCAGGTAAGTCGCCTTACTATCGACATGGTTAGATTTGATGTTGTGTCAATACGTTCCCCGTGGTTTTGCACGTGCCATATATTTGATATATGTGAATTTTTTATGAAACGATATGACTATAATATGATATGCATACGTTACAGTATGTGAATGGTTAGAAATGGGAATAAAACATTATTTATAAAAATGTGGAAAACTTGGACGGTTACATTACCCAATATACAATAGCTCAACTTAGCACTTCATTGGTACAAATAGTAACTCTTTTTTTAGTCATCTTATCTTTATAATTTCTCTCATTTAAATCGTGTCTCGTTTCATTCATATACCTCCTCTTTATTCGGGTGTAACAAAAATATTTTCCACAAACAAATTTAAGAATTTATATATGAATGCTGGATTACCACAAAGTCATTTCTTATCAATTAAAATTAGAATATTCTTAAATTTTTATATTTTAAATACTAATAATAATAAAGTTCCCTATGGAATAAGATAAAGTTGAGAAAGAACCATCCATCTTATGAATCAATGGCTGACATTTGTTTTTCCATCTTATGATTCTTATAAATAAATACTATCAAGAAAAAGAACTAGGCCACAATGAGGATACATTCTGGAAAAATAAAACTTCCATCGAAGAGAGGCAAATGAAAGACTTTTATAAAAATTTTCGTAGAATGAAGTTTGGTAAGCGAAAAGGATAAAAAGGTCGTTTATCGAATTTCTAAGTAACATTTTTAATTTTTAATTCCTTATCTTGAAGGAATTTCAAGATGCTAGTGAGAAATGACCTAGAAGAAATGAAGAATTTTTATGGAAATTATGGATTTTTGGAGGAAAAATAATAATAAAATATTCGAAAAGTGGAAATTTACCAAAATACCCTTAAAGTTAAGGATAATTACGGATTTGCCATTCTGCTAAAAATCCAATCCTTCACTATGCCTTCTACACAAAATCCTTCAAATCTCGACTCTCAGCCGTTCAATCTCCCCCATACTTGAATATATTCATAAAACTCACGGATCATCACATCCAACAGCTAGGATTCAAAACCAAAGTCGGTGAGGCTGTGATCGGAGTAGATATTTCTGACGATTTGTCTAGAAAATTCAACCGATAATTCACGATGAATCTAGAGCTCCCAATGCCGGTTTATGCTTTCCCTATAAATTCTGAAGTTGGGGCAATAGTTTGGAATAAGAGTCAAGCAAGGGAGAGCTCCCAATCGTAGGCAATAAGCGTTTAGATTTTGGGTCTCCTACTCTCGGGTTTCTTCCAAATTTGAGAGCAATTCTCAACCATTTCCTTTCAAACTTGTTCCTCTAGTTTCTAAACAATATTACCCACAAGTGCTATGAAGGAATAGGGTTCGGAAAGTGCCTAGAAACCATTCCCCCAATCCAATCCGCCATTAAAGAGCTTCAAGGAAAACTCAAAATTCAAATCAAAGGATACACAAAATTCGTTGAGCAAGAACAATCTCAATAAGTTTCTGCACCTTCAAGGAATGTTTTCATTGAAGACCACGAAGAGAAATAACCTCAGAAACGATTCCAATTGAAGAAAATTCATTTCGTGTTCAAATTGTGGGTAAGTGTCGAATTCCTATCTATGACCTATTTTCCTTCAAATAAAGGATTCCTTTAGCTTAAGAGGAAAAAAATGAGTAACTTTGATGAAGGAATCAAGAGCTGAAACGTCTAAGAACAAGATACCTAAGAGATTGAAAATCGGAGGTGTCATGTAACTTGCAGACCGAGAGTGATTTCTCAAATTAAGGTCCCACACTCAAAGTTGTTCCTTGAAACCAATTTCTTAAGCTTGAGGAAAGAATAAGGAAGAAGTTCCATGAAGAAATCGAGCCTTGAAAACCCTTAGAATCGGCTACCCAATAAGAAATCCTTTGTTTTTACTCCAGCGAGAAATTATATTTTGGACGAACTTTGGAAACGAATATCTAAGGCTACGATCCACGAAAAGGTATGAAATCAATCCATAGCTCTTCCTTGTAATACCCTCTTTAAGTTTCATGAAGAACTCGAGGGGAGAAACAGCATGATCGGAGCTGGGGAGGGCGAGTTTCAGACGGCGGCGCGAAAGATCACGCACGTCTTCTTCCCATCGGGAGGAAGAAGACGATGACATGGCCGGTTCAATTGAACCGGCCATGTCAACCAAAAACTTGACCCCTCGATTTTTCTAAAATTTAACCCTCTTCTAGAATGGTTCTCAGAAAAATCTTTATGGTTCCAGAAACTAGACACAATAAGAAGTCTGTGGAAGAAAATTGAAGGTAATTCAGGTATCGGAAGATCATGAACAGAGGTCCCGAACGTCGACAACGCGGTAAATAGCCACCTTGCACTTTTTCGTTAAGAAATACTTGTAGGAATCGCTTGGATTTCCATATGAACCCTAAAACAAGTATGAATTTCGGATATATGAAAGAAAAGTTCAAAGAACCATGAGTTAAGGCCCTAAATCGATCAAAATACTCGGGAATTAGGGAACGTTAAAATAACTGACTAGATCAACTCTGCTTTAATAGCCCAAAAAAAAAAAATCATAAATAATGAAATAAATAAAGAAATAAAGAAATAAAAATAATTATAAAAAAAATGAAAATGGCCTTTATGGAGTTGAGATTCATGGGAGATTTAAGTGAAGATAGAATTGAACAATAAGGTATATATTAAATCTTCGTTTTCTTTTATCCTATTCTTTTTAGTTTTTTTTAAGAAATCATAGCCAATTATAGTTAGATTTTCATTGTTTAGTTTTGAGTTAAGAAACTAAATGTCAGTCATTTATACGAATTCTAGTAAATCACGTTATATTAGTAATATTAGATTAAATTTATATCCGTAGCAAATGAATAGATTAAAAATAAAATGACCAAGAAAATTTGTGAACAAAAGGAAACACCAAGATAAGGAAAGATTTGGAAATAGGGATCCACTATAAATTTGGAATACATGAGAACAAAATTAGAAGGCAACAGAGTAAATACCCATAAAAAAAAAAGGAAGATTCTGTAATTAAAACATAAACTAAATAAAAAAGCATAAACTAAATACAAAAAAAAGTAAATATAAGAGTAGACCAAGTAATAATTTTATTGAATTCAAACTTGAAATTGATGTCATGGGCTCAAATAGGTTTACGGATTTCAAAGGACATAATCGAACTTTCATTAAGGATATATTCGTGACAACAACTTAAGTTAACCAGGTAAGCGGCCTTACTATCGGCATGGTTATATTTGATGTTCACACGTGCCTGTGGTTCTGCACGTGTCATATATACTAATATGTGTGAATTATCTGTGAATCAATATGCTTATATTATGTTTATGTTATGCTATAATATGTGAATTGTATGATAATATTTATGGTGTGATGTGTTCAATGATATGTTTGATATATGATACGAGAAGGATGCACTAAATGTAATGTAACGATAGAAGTAAGATGTATTCACGAAACATTAAGGTTAGGTTATGCCTCGAAGTGCTATGGATATGAGAGATTGATAAAAGAATATGGTTAGGATATGGGTAGAAAGAACTCCCTAAGAATCTATGAACTTCTAGAACAACTTACCCTAAGATGGGTTCATATGATTACAAATGAAAGTTACAACTTATGCCCCAAGAAATTATGAACCTTAGAAACTTACAAGATTGAGGACCAAGAACAACACCACACAAGCTTTACAACTACCCAAGTAAGAAGAATGCTAGGTACCACTCAAGGACGAGGGACCAAGGTCCCCAAACTAAAAAACACAAGAATGCTAGGTAATACTCTAACCATGCCCAAAGTGACCTATGACCTTGCATCAAGCGGTGCTTTCTAAGGCCCAAGAATTCCTCTTCTAGGTGGGATGACCTGCACCATGTTTCCTTTGCAGGATGTCATGTTTGGCCTCAAGTTTCCCTCACCTAGAAGAGAAGTTATGGGTACCAAAAAGATTTGCAGGATGACATATTTAAGTATGCACCGAGCTAGTGACCTTTATGGTCTACCATGAAGAGTAGTCTAGGGCCACGAAGGAACAAGAAGCGAGTAAGTTACCTTAGCCAAGAATCAAGAATCTCTTAAGACCTCCGACGGTTCAACATTCTCATGACTTAGACTATGCTAATCAACAACTGAATTTCACACCACCAATTAAACGGTAATCTTTAACCATCACAAATACCATAATCAAACAGTATAAAACTTAAGCTTTCCAGTTCAAGATTTTATAAACCGGGTTATACTACATGCTAATCATTGCGTTTATCATCTTAAATTTCTCGCATATGAAAAGAGGTATAACAATAGTACACCTAAATTCCTACCTTTTATACAGATTATGAAAGATAATTAATACTAAGTTGGTTATGCTCATGCTTTAAATTTGTATTTAAGAAATAGGTTACTTTTAATAATAGTATAATTTACGTCCATCGACCAATGTTAACCGCATGACTAGACAAGAATAAAATAAAACAACTTCCTTTTAAATTAAGAACGGCCAGTATAGACGTTACAAAACGTGATTATTCTTTCCTTGAAATCGCAAGGAAATCAAGAAGACGTTACAAAGATGAGGCGTTTCACAGATATAAAATGGGGAACTGATATCCAAAGATTCCATTGTAACAAGGAATAAGAGAAGAAACAAACATTCCATTGTAGCAAGGAATAAGAGAAGAAAAGAAGGTTTTTGTTTGTATGAATAAGTTTGTGTTGATTTAGATTGACAGATAGTATTAAAAAGAAGGTTTTTGTTTGTATGAATAAGTTTGTGTTACTATTGCAGGATGGATGGTGGTGCAGACAGAGGGACGGACATGCTATAAGCACAGCGATGCATTTATAGGACCGTGCATTGCAGCAACATGTGCTGAACTTTGCATTTCTTTTGAGAAGTGGGATGACGGATTTTGCTCGGGTGATAAATGCACTTGTACGAAGCAATGTGCTGAGTCCATGCTTTAATGGGTTTGTAATTCACCACAGTTGTTGCTATCTGAATGTAATAAGCGACTCCAATTCTACTGAATTGCACAACATGTTTACTAATCAAAGCTTCCTTCTTCCATTTTATAATTTTTATCTCAACTCGCAAGTTCAAATTGATAGAATCACAAGCTTCGTTAGTTGCGTAAATTGATGCAATCAGGTTCAAAGCTTCCTGATTCCTTATTCCTTCTTGTTCTTCCATTCAACTATGCATTGTCATATTGATTAGGCATTTCTTAATCATTTAATTTTTTATTTTTTTAAAGAAATCATTTAATAATTTTTAGAAAAGAAAAAAAAAAAAAAACTGTTTACACTCATCTCATATTTGTTTCTTTCTCCGGATCTCTCTACAAATTGGGAACTCAACCGTTTTAAAATTTAATTCAATATATATATTTAATTTGTAATTATTTTTTTATTGTTTATTCTTAAACCCTCCTAATTATTTTTAACCGTTATTTTAAGAAATATATATTGAAACTAAGTTGTAAAACTTAATTAAATATTTGAAAATAAATAAATAGTTTTCTTTATGAATTAAATTTTAACAAATAAACACGAGAATCTAACCCAACCTAAAAATTTGATGGTTGTGTTCATGCATTTGGGGGATACCCCTATCCCATCACAGAATTATCCTTAAGGGAACTACCTCTCTTCTATCCCTAAGAGTGGTAGGAGTGAATTCTATCTTGCACCCCACGTCCCCAGTCATTTACCCAGTCTTACCCCTGAAATGGGAGGCCTATTGAGTCGGCGAACTTGAGCCACTCTCACCCATGCAAATCTAAGGATAATTCCGAATAAACAGGAGTTCATGGTTAGCTCAGGATTAAGATCGAGTTACCTAGGTCATCGAATGAAAAGAAAATCAGTCTCAACAGTAAACGACATTATAAAGTGAGAGTGATTTTCTTCATGGTCCGATCTTATGCAATACTCATTGCATAGGACGCCCCCACTCACATGTCTCCACATGTACAATTTTAGTGATCACATTGTTTATATCATATACAAAAGTGGGCCGCATCCATAGTGTCCCCAGAATAAGGTACTCAGCCTTATCCTTATACTATAGATCATTTTGACTATATACTTGAACTTGATCAACTCTTATGTCTCTACATATAGTTCACGTAATCATACTATAGCCAGAGTGTTCTTAGTTTATTGGATTTAGATTAATGATCATAAAGTTCACTTTATTCAATAACAATCTTTACTGAATAAACAACAATAATAACTTTATTGAAAATAGAATATGTTTTTGTTTACAAACCATGAGTTTTAGGACATAAAACCCAACAAACTCCCACTTGGACTAAAACTCTAGTGGGGTTTTATAACATTGAGTAGAGAGAAAGACATAAATACAATAAACTAGGTCATCACATACTCATGCCTTTTCTCCCACTTGCCCTAGATTACATAACTCGTAGTCCTAGACTCACTAGGTGCCCTTCAAACACTTTAGCCGTGAGGGGTTTTGTAAATGGATCAGCAATGTTGTTCTCTGAAGCTATTTGTGTGACGATCACATCTCCTCGTTGCACAATCTTCCTTATGAGATGATATTTGTGCTCAATATATTTTCCTCGCTTATGGCTTCTTGGTTCTTTTGAATTTGCAACTGCTCCACTGTTATCACAATAAAGAGTGATGGGAAGATGCATATCTGGAACAACTTCCAAATCAGTTAAGAACTTCCTAAGCCATACAAATTCTTTCGCTGCTTCACAAGCAGCAACATACTCAGCCTCCATGGTGGAATCAGCAATGCAACCTTGTTGTATGCTTCTCCATATTATTGCTCCTCCGTTTAGAGTGAAGACAGATCCTAATGTCGATTTCCTCGAATTTACATCGGTTTGAAAATCTGAGTCAGTGCACGCCCGAAGGCACCCAGCTCCACCCCACCTTGCATGTTTCATCATCGTACCTGCAGCCATCCACAGTCCTCACACCAGAGATTCCCATTTAGAAGGCAACATTGCAACATTCTGTGCTCAACGAGGCTCATGTCGCACGCCCAAAGGCACCCGATTCCATCCAGCCGAACATGTTCTGGCACCACACGCCTTCAAAACATAGGGTTGGCCCAAGGCTGGCCGAGCATCACCATAACGTCACACACTCAACGAGGTTCATGCCGCACGCCCAAAGGCACCCGACTCCACCCCACATTGCATGTTTCATCGTCGTACCAGCCATCAACCATCCTCAAGCCAGCCCAAGTTAGAAGGCAACATCGCAACATTCCATTCTCAACAAGGCTCATGTTGCACGCCCAAAAGCGCACCCGACACTACCTCACCATGCAAGTTTCGCCACCGCACCACCGCCATCAACCGCCCTCGTCCGCCAACCACCACCCCCACACCCCAAGCATATGCCCACGTGCGGCACATAGTGCTTGGGACGTGGGGGTGGCAGAAGATATAGGGGGTACCCCCGTGCCTAGCCCATGCAGACTAGTCACCCCCTTATATAGTACATTTTGAAGAATTTTTTGGTCTGCCAGGCCTAGATACGATTTTTCTGAGCCGTCATACGGTCAAATATCTCAAGTTTTAGATTGTTTTTTTCCATG